TTGTCATACTTAATGTTAAGCCACTTGAAATTTATGAGATTACAAAGGTCACTCAGACCTTCGTAATGCAAACCTAATGATTGCTTCGAGAATATGGCATAAATTATTTTCATTGGGTAATTCGGAAGTACCATATTTATTTGAATCTATCCTGAAATTGGAATCTTTGAATCTCACTCTGCCTCTACGATGCGCTATAAGGAGACTTCCCGCCCCCGGAAACTTAGCGACCTTGGTAACTAACCGATCCTTGGAAGCATATCGACTTTGATAATTAAACGACACCCAAAAACCTATCGTCCATGGTAACTTATCGACGCCGGTAACTTCTTATCACCCGGAAATATATCTACCCTGGTAACTTACCGACCTCAAAAAATTTAATTTACCCATTATTGGTCAGTTGTTGTTATGGTATCCATTCTTACCGACAAAGTCTGACACATTGAAGTTCTAACATTGAACGGCAGTGTCGCTCTCTTATGTTGATATTTCTTAAGCTTCCTCATTCGTTACAGACGATTTATTCATAAATTTGCTTAGAATTGCAGCATTAATTGTATAAATATGAATGATTAATATAATATATGAAGATATAAAATTTGACATAAAATTACAATATATCGTGAGAGGTAACGATTGCGATCGGAACTAGCGCGTGATAATTAAGTAAAGATTTTTAAATAAAAGATTCTTAACACGTTCGCTACCAAAAGCTGAAAAGAAAATCTTTCACCATAGCCCAGTGTTTTTTGTTAGAATATGTCCACAATTGACACGAGTTTTTTTAGGATATACTTATAACATAAAAATGTAATTATCTCTAGACCAAGGACATTCTACATCTATTTTATTGTTTTTTAGCTCAACAATACTGTTCATTTCCAAATTTATTGCAATACATTATCATAAACTTGATAAAGAACACGCATCTGCGGGCTCAGATGTAAGAATCGGGACACCGCATATATGCGGCAATGGTAGCAAACGTATTAATTTGCAGTTTTTACGGAAAAGTGATAATTGTCTACATTGTTACATTGTGCTACATTGTTTCTCGAATAGATTTCTAGCACAAGGCTTGATAAAATCTACTTTTTTATACAAAAAATTGTATTTAAAAAAATGATTTAGTAATATTCTAAGAAATGGAAACTTTTATACCCTCGTAGAATTGTAGTTTCTTTTCTTTCATCCGAAGAAAATTTCAGAGACTATTACAGATATACATTTGATGAGAACATAAGAAGAATGTTATTTTATCTTACGCATAATGCGGAAAACATACAGCATATTTGTAAAACTATTAAAAACAGCAAATTCTACCAAAATTACCAATAAATTACCATCTTACATAATTTTACCGTAAGCAATCATTTTGAATTTGACGGTAATTTTACATCTGTAGATATATTTCATGTGGTTACATCACTAAAAATTACAACATAATAATTTTAGTCATAATTCTAGAGAGTATGGTCCAGCATTACAAAATTTTATAATAATCTTTGTTACAATATTTTCCCTGTGAACGCCTCGTTGATCTATCGATGCTGGAGGGACATCGAGTGACCGATGAGAGTCGCGTGTAACAAATATATAGACGGAATTATATTTTTTCAATGCTTTTAAACATGTATATATATATATAATAATAATAATAATAATAATAACACAAGAGTCTCGTAACATGTCGATGAGGTATAACAAAAATTCTTAGATATCTCGATCAGTTTTCTGCTCGTACTACGTACAATCTACGTGTCGCTGTTTATCTTTCTTTTTCTCTCTTTTATACATAGACAGTCAAAAAGTTGAAAATATACATTATTAATTTAAAGTTTTGTGTACGCCGTCGGTTTTGAAGTCTCCACGGAAGGTCTTCGCGGAGACTTCGCAATCTTACTCGGCAACTTTGCCCTTCTTAACAGGAACTGCATCGCGAGCGGGACTGCTACCCCTCTTCTTCCCTCCTCGCACGTTACGACCTTGTCATGGAACAACGAAGTTCGTTAGTATGACTTCTTCCTGAAGGAAGCGGACTATAACGTTTTCTATCGTACGTGAAATTCAGTGGTTTAAGTTTAACTCAGCGAAATCCAAGTATATGATCTCCATGTACATGATTTCTCCGTATTAGCATGGCAAAATTCATCATTATATGGTGTATACGGCGATCGACAGTTGTAACGCCCGCAAAACTCAAATGAACCTACCCTTTTTACCGCCGCGTTTCCCTTTACTATGCTTGTTCTTCGCGGCTATCATCTCCTCTGTCACCTTAATGAGATACTTTTCTTCTTCCTCACCCTCGAGTATTCTGCATGTGACCTCCGACTTGTTGATTTGTACCTTGAAACACCAAATGTTTTGAATTATTTTAACGTATTGCAACACACGTGTAATCGCAATGTAGTTATACATTTTAATTAAAACATTATAAAAGATAGTCTCCTTGATTAAAATCATAATTATAAAAAAACGGACATCTCCCTTTCTTGCTTGCTATTATCTCAATATAGATGTTTCGTATTTATTTGTATAAACTCGAACATATATTGTATCAACCGTCTGTCTGTTGGTCTGTCTGTCCGTCCATCTTATTTTGACTACACACAATTACGATCCCTTGTTTTGTCTTGTTCAAATATTTGATTAAAATAATTATATCTACCTAACTTTTAATATGATTGTTTAGTTGTCTTTTAGTCTATCTAAATAAGACGCTTAACTGAACACTCGTATTAAAGGACATAAAAATTACATCACTCATAATGTTACACAATTTTCTGACATTACTGGTCACAGGTTAGAAACAAATCATGAATTTGATTGAATATTGTTAAAATCTTGGACAATGAAAAACACCATAAAAAATTGATTTTCGAGGAAATTCATATAAAAAATAAGAAATGGTCGAAACGTTCCGGTTAAAATGTTAACTAATAAATTACCTGCTTGTAGGATCGATTGATAATATATGCAAACTATAACCACAGTTAAATTCTTACCGTTTGTTTTTCATAATTATATTTTAAATATCTTGGACAAAAAAATACTTTCAGTTAGTCGACAATCATGGTAGTCAGTTTTAAGCACTTTACAAACACTTCTTACCTTGCCTTCTTCCATTTTATCTAACAGGGGCTTGGCAGCATTTTCTCCCTGCAAACGGATCCATCCTTCCGTATTGCCTCTTTGAAAATCTATGTACGCTACTTCGGCGTGCAATTCTTCTAAACGTTCTTTGATTTCTTCCCTGACACAAATCTTAGAAACACCAGAGAAATAAATAACTGAACCTCTGGGCAACTTGATTTCCGTCGAAGCGGGTGTCGAATCCGCCTCTTCGTTCTTGGTTTCATTCTGTTCCACCTGAAAAAGGCATATTAAACGTATTATTTTAATGACAACGATACGAAATCGATCACAGTTCTCTAGGCACTGACGCGTTTATCTCGTAACTTAAGCTTTGTACTTACACCCGCAGCCTTCTTCGATTTATTATCTGGTTTCTTCCTTCGGCGTTCCTCCTTTTCCTGTGCTTTCTCCACCGCATAATCCGCACTGCAAAAATTATATTGCAGTCGTAAAATTAATGTAACAATTACAGAAATATATATCACGGTAAATCACGTATCGATCAATATTACTTACGCCCATTTCCTTATTAATTCGGTGTCATTATATTTTACAGATTCCGCATCCATAAAAACTTTGGCAATGTCAATAGTTTTGAACTGTACAAAAACAGATCCTTTGAACTTGAAGTTTTTCTCCTTATCCTGGTATTTCCTCATCTGTGGAAATAGAGAAATTTTAGCATTTGTGCATGGTATATAATGGATCAATTAATCCCCCAGCGCCTATTAAATTCTTACAAAAGTTGCAAGGAAACAAATATATCTACCACAATCGTGTCAAATGGTTTGTACGGTGCAAAATATGCCTTCAGCTTTTCAATATCCATGCCTGTCTGTGGGAATCCCTTAATATAAACTGTTCTAGCTTCCTGTGCTTTCCTGTACTCTTCATTGTACTCTGGCAAAGGATGTTTAGGTGAACGCCGAATTTTTTTCCCATCCTCAGATATTTCCATGAGTTCACTAGCTTTCAGCGCTTGCAGTATTATATCAACGTCTCTGCTAAGATTTGTTAACTGTCTAAAGTTCAGCATGATGTTCATTGGAATCCAGCCGTTGTCTAGCTTTGTTTGTTCTATAAGGAACTTATCCTTGTGCATATTCACATTGCCAAAGTAGTACTGCCAAAAGATACAACAAAAGAAAAAATAAATTAACAAGTTGAATACGCATGGTTCATCGGTGACGCACATTGGACTTTCATTTGGCATATTTCACATTAGCTTTTCCTCTTCATGATTTTTGTAGTCTTGTAAATATTATTATATATATATAATAAATATAATAATATATATATATAATATATATATGTGTGTGTGTGTGTGTGTGTGTGTGTGTGTGTGTGTGTGTGTGTGTGATAAATGCAGTATTTATGGATCCACCAGTGGCCCACGCGGCGTGAAATTGGCTCAGCGTGTTAAAAAAAACTGAAGCCTCTCATTAGAATTTTTCAGTTGATACGATTGTTTCAATATATGTGGAAACGCGATCATTGAACTTAGAAAACAAAAATAGATAAAATCAATCTGCTGCAAGAACAAAATACGATACCTCCACTTGTTCCCTTATCTTCTCCAACAATCCTGCGGACGATTCGTCTTCTTCTACATCATTTTCTTTTACATCGTCCGCTTTCTCTCCATCGTCCGCTTTTTTCACATCGTCCGCTTCTTTTAAATCATCTCCTTCTTTCGCATTGTTTCCTTCTTTTTCATTGTTCCCTCCTTTTGCGTCGTTCGAATCGCCGGCGATCGGCGTGGCGTTCTTAACCTTATCATTCATCTCGTCGGCGGCTTCCTCAGCGACGTTATTTGTATCGTCGATTTTCGTTTCTTCCTGACCGTTCTCCATGTTCGCGATATTCGATTCGCAATATCTAAAGGTGAGACAACCTTGCTCAGAAAAAACGATTTCCGGATAAGCTTTGAACTAACCTCGGATCTAAACGACTCAACAGCAAGAAACGAAATGAACACGTTCGCGCACGTGCCCAACAGTCACGTCGAAACCGGAAATAACTTATAACTGCTGTGCTCAATCGAACACTTTTTATGCAGGATTCACACTGCGTCCAACGTTCGATATTGAATTTTTTGTTTTAAAGTTCCTAGATAGCAACACAAACATCTGTTTCCAGAAAACGTATTCTCCTATTAGATATCGGTTAGTCGTATGTCGGATATCGGATGCAATGTGGATCCTCCATTAGACCAGTGTAAAGCCCGTATCAGACTACGGATTAGGATTGATATTGAATTAAAATTTGGCCAATCTGGGCAACAGAATGACATTTGCCCTTCCAACATGGTCTAAGCCAATATGATTTGACCTGACGCTATATTGAAACGCTAACGGTAAATTTTATAAGCTTATGCTCACCATCTGTTCGTATAATATGAGAACTCTGTCGCGATAATAAAAATATTTATTTTTCTTATTAATTATCAATTACTTGGTTCCTTTAATAAATCTGTTTACATTTTGTCGCCACGCTTGCGCATGAACACTTCTCTCACTCTTTCCTATATAGCCAATAACCGTCCATCTTCTATCTTACAATGTCGTGTTCACTTCCACTTATAGGAAAATTTCTGGTTAGCCATATAGGAGTATTATATATATGGTGACATTAGGTCTGTTCGTTTTCGCTGCACCGCTGAACTAGTGAAGCGAAAACGAACAGACTTATTTTTTGTAATCGTTCAGTCACGTGACCTGAAACGTGCTCATGCGCTTAAAATCTCACATGACACGTGATTTCCCACTTTCTTCTAGCTGCTTGTGTAGGACAGACTTCAGAGTAGTCCATAGCTACAATTGAGAAGAAGAGTAGGTGATTTCCTGTCACTGTTTAAATGTGATCCGGGGCCAAGCGCAGATCGCACTGAAAATTACGTCCAATTTTAATAACAGGTTTATATCTCCTGATCCAATAATCGTAAACACCAACAACGTATCGTCGATATAAGGTAAGAATGAATACATAAAAATTTCCAACATGTAAATGTAATTAAAATTGCCAAGTAATTAGGCCTATTTTTGTTGTTCTTGCATTGGCTATATACTAGCTTGCATTAGTTTTCATTTCTTTCCTACTAAATCTTAAGTTTTGCAAAATTTCTATTATATAATACTTTTTTGTTGCTATTCTACACTCAAAAGATTAATATATATCAATTATAATATATACATTTTTTATAAAAAAGAGAAAGAGAGAGAGAGAGAGAAAGCTAAAATATGTTTTTAACACGTTGACTGCCACGGAGCTTTTCACGATTCTGGTCTAAGAAGCCAATTTGATTTAATCAAGTAATGAAGCGACGAGATAACTCGTAGTTGGTGTCCTAGGCAAGTAAACAACCTATAAGATATCTCGCAGTTGGGAGTCAACGTGTTAATAACACAAATGTATCCAAGAAACTTCTATATTTTGTTCTTTTCTATATAAAATAATGTCACAAATGTCTGTTCCAATAAACTTCTGTATTTTTCTTTTTTCTGAAAAAAGAATGTCAAATCAAATGGAGGGCAATATAAAAATCGGTACGCATGATGATGGAATTACTTGCAATGAGGTACTTGCCTGTATGCTTTTAAAGCTATTGCCACGATATATGAATGCTGTCATAGTAAGGTAAGCTATTTTAGGATTCATAAATAAAAACCGTATTTATGGATCATTAACCCCTTAACCTATAACTATGTGTGAGACACGTGGTCTTGTATTGGGGCCAAAACTGATTATCACAGGCCTGGCCTGTGGTACACCTGTCGGGCCAGATGTAAATATTACGGACATGGCCCCTGGTACAATGATCGGGCCAAATGTAAATATTACGGACATGGCCCCTGGTACAATGATCGGGCCAAATATAAATATCACGGGCATGGCCCGTAGTGCGATGGTCGACGTGGTGCGACGGTCGCAACAGCATCAAAATTAAGGCCATTAGAACCTTGTAAAGTTTGCACGAAAAATAAAAAACGTAGTGAAACAACGTGGGAGTGCAAAGTTCTATTACATGTACCAGTATGTTTTGAACGATATCACACCATTGAAGATTATTAATTTTTTGTTATTGATTTTTGTATAAATGCTAATTACGTGAATTGCTAATTTATTCAGGAATTGCAGATAAATGTTATTGATTTATATTATATTTTATTGATTGATAATAAACCTTTTGTGGTATATCTACTACAATTATTACATCATTTTGTAATTACTTATCAAATATTCCACAAAATTAAACCAGTTGTATCTTACACATGTATTTACATTCCGTAAGTCGTGCGCGTTTGGTACAACTTAGAACCGATTTGCCGAACCGTGGAAGGCTACGCGATCTTGTTTACGTTTTGGATCCAGGCTGTTGAAACGTAAATCGTAGGTTAAGGGGTTAAGTGTGATAAAGATTCTGAAGATGATTCGATTATGTTATTAAAAAATAATAATAGTGGTAAAATCAGAAGTAAATATTAATCTATAAAATTCATGAATGTTGTTATATTTTTAGAACTCAAGATCAGGATATCTTAGACAGTTGCGATATCGTAGTAGGCATTGGTGGAATATATGATCCTTCCATCCACAGATATGACTATCATATGAGGTAAAATAATATATTTTATAATGAAATATCTTCTTTTGCTTCTTAACGTATTAATATCCTTTCTTTATTATATTAGAGAATTTTACGAGACAGCTAACACCATTCTAAAAAAACCAAATTACAACCGTAAGATTAAATTGAGCAGCGCTGGCTTGATTTACTGTCATTTTGGCCATGAAATATTGAAGATACTACTTCCACATATAAAAGAAGACAGAATCATCGATGAGCTCTTCAAAGAGATCTATGATACTATCATTGTGCAAATTGATGCACAAGGCAATAATCAGATAATGCCTGCATATCATTCGCCTTATTATGAACCAGCGTAAGTATCATATCTGTTCTATGTTTGCTCTTCTTTTCTATTTTTACTTACACACTTTCTAACACGGAGTGTTTTTGCTTACTAGAGTTTCCATGTGTGATGACTTGTGCAACTTGGTAAGAAACATAAATTATAACACATGGAAGAAGGGAGCATATATGGAAGAAGATGAGCTGTTTGAGAAAGCTATGGCTATGATATTGCACACATTTATGGATTTTGTCATCTGTGCAGAGAAAGTTTGGCTACCAGCGAGAAAAATCGTGCAAAATGCCATAAACAGCCGATTTGAGGTAAGATGTGTAACGATTTCCTTCTTCATTCACATCTTTAGGTTATTTATTATGATTGATTATTTTAACTTGAAAAAATATATTTTGAAGATCCATCCAAGCGGACAAATAATAGAATTGTCGGAATCGGTGCCATGGCAGCAGCATCTCTACAGTCTAGAGAGAGAAATCAAACTCGATTTAAGGATAATGTTCGTTATTTTCTCGAGCGGAAATGGCTATCTGATTCATTGTGTGCCGGTAACGAGTAAAACGTCATTTTTCTCACGCAGAATAGACTTTCCAGGTAGGTGGCGTGGGTTGAGTAATGAGGCGCTCGTGGCAGTTTGCGGAATAGAAGACGCCGAATTTGTGCATAGGAATGGACTAATCGCCAGGCACAAAACTAGAGACGGTGCCATAACTATGGCGATGACTGCCTTCCAGATCGAGATATCCTCGGCGCCATATATTCATGAGAAAGAACCGAGCTATAACGAATTAGAAAACATGGCAGGAGACATTTGGAATTCTTCAGAATATGTTCCAATCTAGATATGATTATCATATAAAGTATGATAGAATATACCAAAGTTTCGAAATATCTGCACATTTTACTTGATTCTGGACATTGTATAAAAAAAAATTATTTACTTCTGAAGATTTCCCAGTAACGATGAGCATCAATTGATTTCTAAAAGCGGAATAATATAACAAGAAGCGAACGGCATGTGACAACAAGGCTGCGCACCGAGAAGAAATACGACTCTCGCTATCAGTTGACACTCATCGTTACTAGGAGATTTTTAGAAGTAAGCCCATTTTTCTTTATACAGAGTCTAGCCTACCCTTTCCCATGCGCTCATTAGTTCAGACAATAATAATTAATTTCTCGCCATTGTGAATTTTGCAAAATGCTACATGACTTTTCTGCTCAGTTTCACCCGTTCTACTTGCACACCACGAGAACCAAGATTACTTTAAAACATTCTGTATATGTCATGTAACTAAAATTAGCAGTTATCTAGTAGTTATCAAATATATTATACGGAATATACTTATAAATATAATGTCGAATGTAAAAATCTGTCAAGATCTAAAAATGTACGGCCTCAGCAAAATCTGCACATTTCGTCCGATTGTTAGCTCGCTTCTAGATATATATATAATAGATATATATATTGTATAAGTATGTAATAAATATATATTGTATAGAGCCTAATTTTCTTTGTTTAGCATTATCATGATATATCCACTTTTCACCGTTACTTACAACTTGACACAAAAACTGCTTTTTCGTGCCTTGAAAGCAGTGAACCTCAGCGGCCGTTTCCTTTTTATGAAAAAAGGAAAGTAATAAGTGTCGAAAATACTATTTACTATGGTCCTTTTTTACACATTCTACTAATGAATACTTTTAAACAATGTGGATCTTCAGCTTGCTCCGCCTAACGTTATTTCCTTCACGTGAGCCGCAGACACGTGAAAGGAGTCGTGAAGGGAATAGCACTAGGCGAAGCGAGCTAACAATCGGACGAAGTGTGCAGATTTTGCTGAGGCCGTACATTTTTAGATCTTGACAGATTTTTATATTCGACATTATATTTATAAGTATATTCCGTATAATATATTTCATAACTACTAGATAACTGCTAATTTTAGTTATATGACATATACAGAATGTTTTAAAATAATCTCGATTCTCGTGGTGTGCAAGTAGAACGGGTGAAACTGAGCAGAAAAGTATATATTTTGCAATGTATAGTTTTTTTTTTAATAAATGCATTTGTGAGCCAAAAACTGTCAAAATTAACTGAAACCCTTAATATAATAATAATAATTCCGAACCATCTTGCCTAGAAAACACAATACAAGTCTAAAAAATAATAAAACTATTCCGAAATTACGTTTTGAAACACGTGTTTTGATCTAGCGCATCTGTCATTTCTCTATTTATTTAAGACTCTAACTTTAATACATTTACTGATTGTCATGTACTTTTATATAATAAAATAACATTTAAAAATATCTCACCCATATCGAGAGTATTTTGTTAAATTTTGTTAAATTTATTTTAGTTTTCGAGATATTAAAAATTAATTAAAATTATAAAAAATTAAATTATTTAATTTTATATTAATTAATTAATTTAAATTAATATTAATTAAAAGATATAAAAAATTAATTACCTGCATAATGGATCGCCTGGCACCATCTAACGGTGCGCCGATGAAAACTGTTCGTCACGAAGTTTGAATATTGGTTACAAATGGTTCGAGTTTTGGCTGTAACGTCGATATTTAGTTACGCAGTCTCTACTACGAGCCGCTTCTTTCTTCGAGCAGAGGTCGTGGTACGACTCAACCATAGGGCTGACATATTTTGCAAGCAATATTACTAAACGACGGGACAAAAGTTCTTTGGCTGCTTTCTAATATTCACTGTTGAAAATCTATAATGTACATAATGAACTCTATAGATTTTCAGCACTGGCAATAAATTTTGGAACGTAGCCTGTTGCCAATATTTATAGTCGGACATTATATTTAAAGGCTCTTTAAATTCATCTTCAGATCTTCATAGCTAAGGAAATGAACCGTACAATATTGAAGGTGAATTTAAGAAGACCTTAAATATAAGATCCTTATTATAATACTATGGTAGATTATAATATTATTGTATTGTAAATCATAAGCAGATTTTACTTTCAACATTATATCTAGAAAATAGAGACTTCGAGGTACAAAATACTTCTTGTATTATCTTATTATCGTTATTCTCAATTATCATAGTTCTCAAGTTACAGTTATTATTGTTAAATTTTTACTTATTTGTAATGATGGAAAGAATTAGATCTTGAAAATTAAAAGGTGGTTCTATCGTATCAAACGAGAAATGTGACGAATATTTAACTTTCACCCGCATCTTCCCGTCAAATTGTTACGTCGAAAATCTATAATTAATGACACAACACACAGGTCGGCGTCGCTTCAGCCGGTGGGGAAATTACAGGGACACGCGGGAGACGAAGGTAACGAGAAGCCGCGCGAGAAGAGGCTTTCGGGCCGAACAATGCGGCGCGACGATTGGAAAGTCATCGATCATGTATCCTAATTCGCGCGGCGCGCCGCGTGATATTGTAAAATTCATGGCGATGATCGATCGCTTCCGAACTCCCGTGAGACGACACGGCCTCTACATCGCGCTTGATTACCGTGACGGTGTACCGATGCCCGCGTCATTGAGGATCGTTGCGACAGCCAATAACATTCACGATCACGAGAATGAAAGTGCGCGAGTCTCGAGAAAAAAATCCATGAATAAAGGGCGTAAAGGCGGGACCGAACGTTTCACCCCGCCGTTTGTGCGAATAGAAATGTAACTAGTCGATCTGAGCCCAAGAAAAGTAATAGCTGACCAGTACAGATTAAGGACGTAAATGTAACGAAAGGAATAGAGAATAAGGAATTTAATATGGAGAACCGGACATCCACGAGGTTCAATTTTTACTATAGACAATGTGCCAATTTACGCCACTACAATCGTTTGATACGCGTGTCAAATAATAGCTCATTGTGATGTGCCGAACGTAAAAAGAAAAAATACACGGGGAAGTTCCTCCACTTAATGAACTACTCGTGTCCGGTCTGCTCGCGCGTGTTGCAGTCTCGGTCTGTCAAATCTCGGACTGACAGCTGTCGCCGATTTTAAAACCGCGCGTCGAAAAAATTGTCTAATATACGACACCGCGCTTGTCGCACTTGTAACTCAGCGATTGAGTCGCCTCGGACCGCGGCGAATCGTCATGACGATTGGGGGAGCTGCCTGCTCTCAAATGGGGATGTAATTTCTAGGGGTGCGAGGAGCACACTCCCGACGCGCATTTAAATTCAATCCCCGCCGCTCGAGCGTCACCGTTATTTTCCCCGATCCCGCGGTTTTTTTTTCCTTCTCTCTTTCGCGAGAATCGCACACGCTCACTCGCCCGCTCTACGGTGGGGATCCGGAAATTACCGTCAATTGACCGCGATGCTTTTATTATATCGCTTGAAAAAAAGGGAAAACTTTCCGGGGACACTTTGACGACGCGCCGATATGCGGAAACTCGTCAAATACTCAAGCGAGTATACCCGAATCGAAATTTTGGTAGTTTAACGCTCTTAGTACATTGCAGTTCACGGACGAATATATATAGTATCATCCCGATGTGAAAACATTCATGTCTTAACGATATACATACACGTCTGTGATTGTAAAGGTAGATGTGTGGAAAAGAGCAAAAATAAAATGTACTTCCTTCGAACGTATGACAACTTCATATGGAGCACGGACTGCAAAGTGTTAAAAATAGCTTGCGCTTACTTGGTCTATAGATAGATGAAAACCTACTTTGACAATACCGACTATTTCTGTAAACTTCTTTCTTAAATTTTTAATTCTACAAGTTTAATATTAATGCTGCCGTGAACAAACTTATTTTAGCGCTAAGCAACGAAAACGCTAAGAAAATTATAAGACATTATCAAAGTAGGAGTAAATTATATTATTAGAATTGAAGCTTTTTGTATCCGTTTTTTCTATCTTAGCTCCTGCTGTGTTATAGAATTAAAAGTTTATCGTAAGGTCAAAATTTCGATTCGGGACATTTTCCTGTTTCAAGGTACAGGATGTATGTAAAGAGATAAAACTGTATGTCGCAAACCTTTAATGATCTGACTAGCTTAGGGAAAAGACGAGATTCACTGCGAAATACGAAATTCGCGAAGAGCTTCGCTTCATTTCAGTTTGATCACATGGAAAAGAAAATAGTACACATCGAGCGACACTCGCGGGCGGTATAATATGTTCCGGCTTCGTCGCAAAGTCAATAACGCGATAATCCGATCTGATTAATTCAATTCGATGCCAAGTGCGAACGTGACTTACCGCCAGCGGACCGGTTCTTCAAGGGGAGCCGCACAGAGAACACAGATGGTGCGGGAAATCGTGACTCGACGGAACCGGGGAAATCCCGCCGGCCCACACGACCCTAATTGAGAAACAAAAATATTCAACTAGTGTTGCGCAATTTCATTATACGCGCTACACGTCCGTGAACGAACGATTTCATTACAGCCGGGATTTCAACCAGAATTCGTTGACATTCCGGAAAAATTGCAATCGAGAAAAACCCAATATCGTATTTCGAATAGGCGAGCGTCATTTGTCGGCAACGAAATTCATAACACCTTTTTTTTATTATTTCTTGTCTCTAGTTTCTGAATTTGTTTATACCAATAAAATATAATAATAAACAGAGGAAGATAAATTTATGAAAGGAGGAAATTTGTTTATACCAATAAAATATAATAATAAACAGAGGAAGATAAATTTATGAAAGGAGGAAATTTGTTGACTTTTTTACTCGTTAATGTAGGGTGTCAAGTTTTGTTCTTGACAATCAAATATCTGAAAATTACAATGTTTTAGAACAAATGTTTCAAACAAAAATTGCAGCTGTAGTTTGGAAGGAGATAAAATATCGTCATGATGAATTATTTTTTGATGGCCTTTTTCAAAATCATTTCAAAATCAATTTCATTTTTCTTAAATAGAATAATATAA